GTCGCCTAGATTGCAATTCTGCAAAGAAAATTCCACTTCCTATAAAATTATGGGTTATCGGATTCCTGTTTAATAGTTTTCTGAATAACTTGCAATAGCCCCTTCCTTAATGCCTTTTCTATTCACTGTTACTGGACTCAATCCGCCCGTCACTTTGTTCTAATGAATAGATAACGTTATAGTTTTTCCTAGGGCATTATATGATCGAATATTTTGTGAGAATTCGAGAGCAGCTACAAGGAATCCAAAAGAGATAAATTTGTCAAGAAATTTCTAAAACTGCTAAACTCCAAATGAAGTGATCAGAATTGACAAAAACGCTAATAAGGTCCTGCTGCTTGCCGAGTTTTGTGTACCATAGGTCCCAGCTTTGCTCTTTCTTGATGTTTCGGGAGTCGTCTTAGTGTTGTTAGGAGGCACCTTTTCATTCTTGCCATGAGTACTACTTGTGCTGCTAACAGAGTCTAGGTCAATAAAAAAAAGAAATATTTAGTTCAGCAATGAATGCCCATCCAGATGAAATCGATAGAAATGGGGGAATGATTAAAACTATAGAAAATGGAAAATACTGGATTTGGGGGTTGTTGAAAATTAAAACGGGAAGAGAATAATTAGTAGACAAATATACCAGATAGTCTACCATCAAAACAGGATGCCTTAATTTAAGCTCATTAGCTGACTAACCGGTTTATTTGTATACCTTTTCTACCCTAATTTCTTTCCTTCTCAATTAAACCCCAACAAAAAGACCTCCCTCTTAAAGGATTTACTCGCGATCTGTGATGTAAGTTGGACTGACCTTTTCGCAGTACAACACTGATTTTCATCTTGTACACCTGGAATTTGGGAAATATTTGGCATTGTAATTGCAAACCACGGTCTTCTTCCCTAACTTCCGTCAATTCCAGTGTCGCTCCGTCAATCCTGAGCCTTGATTGACAGGTACTGTTACACTCCTCGAACACGCACGACTCGGAATTACAATATGCAATCTTCTGCATTTTTCGATCGCGTTTGATCCAGTACCACCACATGTCTTGAATGTTACCAATGGAGACCATTTTACCTAGTGCCCCGCAGAGGTTAAAAGCTTGATTTGCAATTAAAGTCAGGCCTGAAGAGATGAAAATAAAGCCTTGATCAATGTACGAAAACGTTCATGCATTTTAACAGCCTTTGCTCACTTGGACCACAGGCCCACATGCCCATTTAGCAGGGATTCCACACTCGCCTGTGCCTAGTGTTCCATGTTCGTACCACATTTTGACGTTATTTGTGATCTATTTTGATCTATTTCTGAACAGTCGCACGGCAACATGGGAGCTTTTTCTCAAGTGGGTGGTTGAATCAAAAAGGGCCAACAAAATTGCAGAATTTGGCTTGAAATTTACAGCCTACAAACGCAACCTCTTTCAAAATCTCGAGTGCAATTTTGTTTCCTGCTGTCGATCTTTCGGGAAGAGAAAGTTTCCATCGATGAAAAACATTTCGAATGCAGAGCTGAAAACGATTTTAATACGTTTGGAACTATAGTGACTATCAGCCAATCAGAGCAAGATGTTGTATTTACGCTCGGATTAATGGCCCAAGGTTCCGTAACTTTCAGTACAGATCGAGAAAAGTATTATATATCTTTCAATTCAAGCAGGACGGCTGTTAATGATCTAAGTGCGTCAACTCATAAACAGGAGCGTCCAAAATCGTGACTTTGAGTCGTCAAAAACATTCCTTTAACCCTTATAATACTAATTATAGTCCAAATCTCACAAATTGCAACCAAACTGAAAGCAAACCTTTAAATTTTCGGCCCGTATACCGTAAAATTCCGAAAATAAGCCCCGGGGCTTATATTTTTCAAAGGGTCTTTTTGAGGGGCTTATTTTTGAAGGGGCTTATATTCGGAGGGGCTTATCTGGAAATTTCGTTTCAAAATCGATTGGGCTCTTATAGTTAGAAGTAAATTTAGAGAAAACCTTGTATTTGAGGGCAATTTTCCAAACTTATATTTGGAGGGGCGATTTAACCTTTACGAAAATGGGGGCTTATATTTTTATACATGGTGCGGCCGAATTTTACGGTATATTACAGTGATTTATCCGGCCCGCTAAACCGGTAACCAATCACAGTTCGCGCACTAACTGAGGGATAAAAATAAAAACAAAATATCCATCAAATTCTACTTACAATTCACGGAAGAGGAAACATTTACTTGGTAAACGAGTGGGTGTTTGTTGTGTTTTCTTTGCACAGAGCATGTGAATGTCAGTAAGTCATCCTTGATCCGCTGCTCCACGTACAATGTTCCATTTACAGGACGATCGATCGTGATACGTTTCTCAAAGTTTCCCAGGGAATTATATCTGGTACAGCTGAGTTTTTCATCACAATAACCTATTTCTCGTTCAGATTTGTCACCAGGGTCGGCGACTTTCCAGATGAGTTCTCTGTAATCTCCGTTCCGGATGGCTGACTCAAGAGGAGGACAATACAATTCGACCATTTCTTTTGGACAAACATTCACGTCTTCAGCACGAGCACCTAAAAAAAAAAAAAAGGCAGGGAAACGAAATAATTTGTAAGTAAAAGAAAAGATAATAGACAGAAGTCAATTTCCAATCCGGTCAAGCAACTAAATCTGACTAAAGCTTGACCTATAGCTTTTAAACTCTTTTCAGCCCAAACCGTTAAGAGTGTCGTTTAACCTTAACTGTGAACGAAGGTCAATAAGTGAATGAATGGATGAATGAATAAATAAATAAATGAACGAACAAACGCTTTTAATCTAGTTATTGCGATTTGATGTAGATGTTTTTCATGTTATTGTATTGTTTGTTTTTGTCGATGACGCAGGTTGAGTCGAAATTGTCTGAAAAAGTTGATATTGTAAACAACATCAAAATAAATGATTGAAAAGAAGACATAACGATAATAGAACTTATAGAGACACTTGTCTACTTACAAGCGGTAAACTCTTTCCGTTTCAAAACAATTGCCAGAGGGGGATTTTGGATTGACCCCTGGTGTATTCGCTTGTTAAGCAAGTATTGGTTTTGAATATTATCGATTCCACTTTAAGTTAAAAACATGCCATGTATATAGCGATCTATGTATTCCTCGTTATCTTTTCTATTTTTACAAAAGCCGCAAGGCACTCGAGATGACCTCTGAGTCCGCAAGACAATAGCAAGTGACTGAATAAAATAGATCTTTCATCTTTATTGCTTTTAAATCGGTCAGGGTCCCAGACTTCTTTTGAGTTTCCTTGATAGTTGGTTAAGACTACTGCTTAGTTATCATACCTTTTTATAATGGAATTTCGGTCTTTACTGTAGCTCTGTAAGCTTACAGCAATTACTGGGCTGCAGTTTTGTCAAAGACTAATGACCATCGCATTTACTACTGCGTCCAGTGATCGATGTTTTATTAAAGAAACAATTGCAACCACGTACTTGAATTTTGATTTTTGCTGTGAAAACAAACGCCTTGGTTTTCGAGACACAATAGTAGTAGGATGTACTTACCTTTCAAAGCTATGACGACGAGTATATTAAATGCGAATGACCCACTAGCAGTCGACATATTTTATGGATATAGGCGACAAACGTCTCTAATCTCACAACCAACTGAAACACTTCGTAAAGACTTCAGACAATGACTGAAGGTTTCATATGGCCTGTAGGCTTTATCAAGATGATGCAACAGCTGCAACGTAACATTCCCGGTGAAATATTTTTAGCTCTTGTTAATCAGAGAAAAACGAGAACTATTCGAAGCAAGTGAAAAGGGAAATAACTCAAAGGGAGATCGAAAGCGAAACAAAGTATGTTAACTTTCTTCAACAATATCAGGTGAAAATCCGAATCAAATCTGCATGGTAATCAATTTTAAGTAATGATCCAGGTAAGAAGGGAAGCAATTTCTTTTGTTATGGCGCAATACGCTTTCCTCACATAGAAATGTTTTCATTTTTACGCAGAGAATGCATAAATCTACAAAAAGGCTGTTTACGAAAGAAAATGTATTTAAACTTCACTTTTAAAGGGTGTATTTTTGTGTTAAAACATTTCGACCAATCACAAGAGTTGCAAACAATGGCCAAGAAATGTTCACAATTTTACATGATCCGCACATACGATTTCTGTGTTACTTAGACTCAGACGAGATTTTGTTATAAGGAAGTTGGATAGAAAAAAAGGGATTAATATACATGCTGCGTTGCGAAGATTTCGTAAAATTTGATGTTTAAACCAATCAGAACCTTAGTAGAGACAACAGTAAAGTTAGCACCTTTTTGCATTCCGACGTGTTCACTGCGTTTTGGTCCTTTCCTTCTTATCTGGACCATTACTTAATTATCTTTTAGGTATAGTCTGGTTAAGTTTCAAAGTTTTGTTCCTTTTTGCAATGTTTTTTAACAATGTCACTGATGATTGACCGTGTTTTTCTTTTTCTTTTGTGAATACAAACCGATAATTGGTTGTCATGCCGGGTTAAATAAGAGTGATGACATGAAAATTATGTGTAACAATTATTATTAAAGTGGACCTCCCCGCAATAAACTGAGCCAACAGAATCATTCATGCACGCTTGAACCCAGACAATGCCCAATGTTTAGATAACATTTCAGCGCTTCGTATTGTCTGTGGTTTTCTCATGATGGTTTTAAATGTTATGTATTGATTTTGTTTATACTACAATCAAGTCGATTTCCTATTCCTAAACAAGGAAAAAAGTCCCCCCATGATAACAATGCTAATAACTAGAACTTCGGCAAATTGAAAGGGCAGCGGGAAATACAACTGAAGCTGAGATGTGGTCATTTATCCACCAGTTTAGCTCAGTTTGATACTTTTGGCATACTTGAAACGTAAATCGACCGGCTCGCTTCTGCCGGGTTAAACGTTTCAAGTCATTTCTCATGAGCCTCTCTGTAGTTACCGACGGATGCCGTTTTCTTCGCGCGTTTTCCATCAATTCATCGTCGGTTTTTCAACGAAATCACTCCGAATAAAGAATTTATTGTTTTACGCGTTAAGCAACCACGACGGACGAAGGAGGAAACAGCAACAGCTTTAATATAAAGCACAACAAAAGCTCTGAATGTGCAGCAGAATCCTGGCAGATTCCATTGTGCCATCATCCCTCGGGCGGGGGGGGGGGGACTTCGCATATGAAAGGGGTCGGATGCTCGTCGGAAATTTTGAATTAAACCCCTAAAGGAGACCGATCTGGGCGGGGCCCAAGCTTGTTTTGACCCCTAAAAGAGACCATGTTAAAACACAGACAATATATATTTTTCGCGTGCAACCCTAAACGAGACCTTCACGGCTAAATATGATGGCGTTTTGCCCAGGACACCCTAAGTGAGACCAAAATCCGAAATTTATACCCCTAAGCGAGACTACGAGCATCCCCACACCTTTCATATGGGGAGTCCTGCCCAGGGCATCATTCATGATCGCATGACTAACATTGTCAAACTTGATCGCAATGGCAATATGCGATCGTCGCGACTTCGACCCACAGAAAGGCTCATAGAGCTGTAGTTTCCTGTTCATCCCGAGGATGAGATATTGTAGGGATGGGTGAGCGTCCAAAAAAGACAAATAAAATTATAGCAATTATTAGCATGTATACCTGTTAGTTTCTTTTAAAAGCAATGATGCTTTGACATAATGTTCTTTATATCAGGGGCCAAAAATAAAGGAAAATCAAAGCAATAAACTAACTAAAGATTTATTGCATTGGTGATAAAATAATAGACTGTAATCGAATTTCGTCATCAATATTTGATATGTCGTCAAGGACAAAGGATATGTTAATTTCACAAACAGACCGCAATATGAAGATATGCGTTGATATTAAACACCAGATAAAGAAAGTAATTCTAATAGCTATTCTCGCAGACTTTGAGGACAGTCGTCTTGTTTTTTGTCCTCCATGTTTAATAAAAAAAACTGAGTCAGTTAAGGGAAAATGTGCTAGTAAACAAGTCACAGCAGTATAAATAGACCAAAGAATAAATAGTGCCGGAATGGGTTGCAGGGACAGTCGAGTCATCATAGATACATATATTAGTGTAGAACGCCTTAGGATTGAAGGAGGCGATATTGGTTGCTTTCAAAAACTGCCAGTTCAGAAAATGAAAATGAATTAACTGCCGAATATATAGAAATCAACTGATGAAACAGAGGAGCCGCGATGATACACGAGTAAGACGAAAAGAAACCGAATTAGAACAAAAGCAAAGTCAAAACTCTTGTCTCTCCCATACGACTGAACCGTAACACTTTGTCTAAAATTTACAATTTACAACAGCCGAATTTTATCAGAATGTACTGATCCTTTTTCCATGTTTAAGTGCATTTGTTTAATTGACCGCAACGTTCTTTAGGATAGTCTTATGCGTTACTCGTGATCAAAAGTATTCACAAATTTCCCAATTATCGCTTCGATTTTAAGCGCTCCTAAAAGTACCGGGGGGTGACAACTCTAACAAAGGTTGTTTGGGCAGTCCTATGAATAACTTTATGTTCTCCCGGAAATTTCGTCGACCCTCCCGAATTTTTCGGTGGCATTCCCCATAAATGTGTCACTTCCCTTAATTTTAATTTTAACAATTAAAATTAAAATTTTGATTAGAGACTTTTTGCAGCTTCTTGTTAATTATGTTACCTGTTAATTATCGAACCTTAGTTATTTTTTCGTTTAGCGGGTATCATGTTAACACAGAAAGACTGTCAAGCTTTTTAAGTATATAAAATCGTGTTTTTTTGTTTTTTAATCACCGATGAATCAGGCGAGCAGTGAAGGGGCCTACTACTAGGGGGGTCTGGGGGCATGCTCTCCCAGAAAATTTTGAAATCTTTGTGCTCTGAAACGCCATTTCCAGTGTTCTGAGAGGACAAATTCTGTCTAAAATGTTCTCTAAATCAATTTTCCTTTTTATGCTTATTTTTACTGGCGTGACTTCGCGTAGAAGTAGTCAATTTTATTTTATACAAGTTGTGCGGTTTTTGAAATTGCTCTGAATATCACTTTCAGCTAAGTATACTCTGTGTGGTGTCATTGTATGAGTTTGTCATAAGAATTCATTTGAAAATTTCAGAACAACTGTCAAAACCTGAAATTTTTCTATCCCGAACGCGTATTGATCGAGATTCGGGATTTTCGAGCAAAATCGGAAGGACCCCGACGAGATCAGGATGATTAAGAAGTCTTCACAGACATATTACTTTTTATGGCCTCATTTGTGTTTAACAAGGTTAAATGAGTTTCGTTTTTTTATTACATACTTCTTACGTACTTCTTTCAAGTTTTCCAGTATGCAATCAGTGGAATGTGCTCTCGTTAACTTGCAGCGTAAAATACCCCTGAACTAATAAATGATCTGATCTGGTGTGAACTGATAGTATGTACCTTGCACCGGTACGGTTCTTGTGTCAATCCGCTGGGGATTGCGCCTAATCAATTGCACTCGAACTTCATGCTATTTTAGTT